GTTGCAGAACTTTGTTACAAACTTGAGAGAGAAGTTGTAGGGGTGTAAAAGAGAATACTGGGAAAAAATAATTGCTTCTGTTTAAAAAAAAAAATTAAATCCTTTTAAGCAGTACCCACGCTGGGAACTCTCTAAAGTGTAAAGCTTAGTCTTTGTCAAAAGTTCAGACCAATCTTAATAAAAAGATTTTCCAGAACTAGAGGAAAAAAATGTTTGGCTTAAATTTCACATATCTTAACCATCAATCCTTGGCTGTTTATTAGGACATTTTCTTTCATGATCTTAGTTATGAAATTGTTTTTAAAAAGAGATGTTACTTAGCTTGTTAAATGTATCATAAAAGTAACAGTTTAAATAAACCACGTTTAGGCTTTAGTGTTCACAAATAACTATTTTACAAATCCACTTGGTTTCTTAGTAGAATTGATTTGCTCAGTTGGTGAACTATTGCTTACAATAGGCATCTCTAAAGGTGTTCTTGAATAGTGTTATTAAAACTTGTAAGACCAGTGCATTATGCACTGAACAGAGTTTACAGAATTTTGGACAAGGGCACTCTAATTTAGTTTCTTCTTAATTTTTTTTGTATATCATTCTTTTTTTTTTGTTATATTGATCTTTTACTTACCTAAGCACTCCTGAAATTCAGAAAAATATGCCATTAAAAATAAATACCATCTAATCTTCTTCAATGCATTCCTGGGTTTCAGTGTTATGAAATGGAAGTGTAATGCAAGGAAGTTGAAGCAAAGAATTCTGTGACTTGACAGCAGGGTTTACTTCTGTGTATCTGAAGCAGAGAATACATTCTCATGGGTTAAAAAAAAAATACCCCTTAGAGTAGTGTCAATTAACCTTTTTATTTAATACAACAGAGGAGTGTTAGTTCCCTTTTTTCTTCACACAGTTCTCATTTATCCTGGATTGAGATCCGTTTGGTCCATTTGAATGTCAAAGAAAAATTTTTGTAGAGCAGCCTTACCTGGAGATGGAAATAATTGTTGCACGAGGGCCACTGAAAGGAGAAAAATTCTGTATCTAGTCATTTGTGTTCTTTAACAACAGACCTTGTCTTCACAAGTGTTTACAATCAAAATAGAATCCTCCTCCCTTTTGGGAGTAGGGCCCTTTAAACTGACATTTATATAATACATTATTGAAAAGAAAATATTTACCCTTCCTGACTTAACATCTGGTGTCCTTTAAATACTAAAAATTAACATAATGAAAAATAGCCTTAAATTAATGTGAGTTTAAACTATTTAAATATGTTGCAGTTGAATCATACTCCCTTTAATATTTTCTTATTTCATGTTTCTTTAATCATACATGTGATGATATTGCATTGCAAAATAGCTGCCTAAAACTATGTGAAAACATATTTCTTGACACATAAATAGATAATGTTTTAAATTCTTAAGTACTATTAATTATACACGTATTGAAACCCATAAGGATCAAACGATTTTATATAAGAAGGATTTCACATACAGCTTGGATTATGTTGCTAAAGAATAGCACAGTAGTACTTCTTTAGCATTGTAAAATAGCTTAGAGAGGAGTATGATGCCTATAGTTGGTGTAATGCATTGGTAATTAAGAGGGTGTGAGGTTAAGCTTCATTAACTGCTGTGGGATTGTATCTTGGATTTTATTATCCCCAAGAGAACATAAGAAGTGAGAGAGGTCAAACTGTTAGAGTCTGATTTTGCTTCATGCATCTGCCAAAACAAGGCAAGCAAAATAATGTGGCAGCAAACAGAAAGACCTGGATTGGTAGCAGATACGAGTTGTACACCCTTTTTTTACAAAGAGAAAAGATTCCTTAATGAAATCAATTATTTCACCTTTGCAATAAAACCTTAGTAAGTGTGGTTTGTAGGAAACAAAACTATTCTATTTGCATTGTCATTTACTCCTAGCGCTTTAGAAAACCGTGGCTTTTTGCATTTTTTTTTTAATCATATCAACAAACTTTTCTCTTTTTCTTTTCCTACTACATCTCTAGACAGAGGAGAATGCCCCAACAAAACAACATTTTATATCTTTAGCACTTTTCTGTGTTTTTGTGTACTATTATGCATAGTACAGACTTGTTATTTAGCTGACCCCCAGAAATGCTGTGTGTATATATATTTATTTTTTTATATTTTATTTTAACTAATGCACTGCTACATGCTTTGGGTTTTTTTATATACCTTGTAAGAGATTAGTCTTTTTTTTTCGTCTGGGAGAATGTCAGGTGCTGACACAGTGATGCCACAAAATTGTCTGTCCCAATACTTTTCAAAGCTGTATGATGTGGAGCTGAGATATTTTTAAGCAGAAATACATTAAATAGAGATATTATGGACTGATAAATCAACTCTAATTTCTTGGCCTTCATTTAAATAATGAATAGTTTTCTTTCCAAATTCTGAAAAGAAATTAAATGAAATTTTGAAAGTAACTTAACCATTTTAATAATCTTTTATTCTTCTGAAATTCTGATTTTATTCTAAGAATATATTTTTTAATAAAAAAAAGGCTCACAATCCCAAATTCTTTTTAAAATTCTGATTATTTCAGCAGAAAAGTGCTTTTTATGTATGATGAAAAAGTACGGTTTTCAAACATAAATAATTATTTAGTAAGACTGTGGGAAACTAGTGCCTTTGTTTCTCAATTTGTAATGACTCTGGGAGAAAGGGAGTCATGCTAAAGCCCTGCTCTTCAATCACACACAGGTATTTTGAGGAAGAGCTCAGGCTTAGCCATCATTACATGGCACTCATAGAAATCATGCCCTCCACGACTGCCCATATGTGTTCTGCTGTATAGTTTTCACTTCAATTTTCGTATAACTGTGCCAGAAGCAGCCTGTGTTCTCTGGCTAGTTTGGCTGCTGCTCTAATTCATCCTATTTATAACTCTCTTATTTTTCCTTCTATTTTTAAGAACAATCTGAGAACTTATGAATGTTTTGTAGTTCTTGGACAGTAATGAAACCCTTCCTGACACTGATGAGTTGTGAAGTATATACACAACCAGCCAGCCTTTACCTTTGATAACATACCTGTGTGCTAGCAAATGGGGTCTTTTTCTCACTTAGGTGCTATTTCACTCAGGCATGGTCAGGTTTGGAAAGAGCTATTTCCTCGAAACAAAGAATATCATTTAATTTGCAGTGTCAGAAGAGAAGAAAGCTTCTTGTCCCAGTTTTAGTTATAATGAAGACAAAAAGAGTATACAAAGATAAAAAGAAAGGTATGGATCATTTTTATTTCAATGTTTTCAATAGGAGGGAAGTAAGAGTAAGCAGAAGCTGATAAAGGAAAAATCTGGAAGTAGAGAATTAGTTCTGTTCATCAATCTTTATCTAAAATGTGTCCAGATTACCAATATACTCAGACCATGAGTAGGATTGGCTTTTTTTTTTTCTTTTTGTGCTTAAGTACAACATCTTGAGATTTGTTGAACCAAGTTAATATACCAGGTGGAGCTCCAGTAATTGGTCTTCAAAATACCGGTCAGCTCTAAAGGCAGATTATCTTTTCCAGATTGCAGCTGAATTATGTGTAAAGCCTACTAAGAGGCCACAAAGTTCATAACTACCACATGCAAGAATATGATTCAGGATATATTTGCTCTACAGCAAAGTATTTGTTGGGATAGAAAATAGCATGGCTGCAAGACCAAGTAGCCCCAGAAATGTCCTAAGTCTCAGTGCATCATGTGAACATGTACTGCTTAGGGACAAGAACACAGGACATCTAAGACAGGACACAGGACATCTATGTTTTCTTCAGCTAAGCATGTTACCTATTAAGTAAATGGAAAGGTTAGGCATTTTGGAAAAGCAACTGAGGAAGTAAGGGTTGCTCTTGATATGACAGAGTTCTTCAGGTGCTCCTGGCTCCTTCTGTGTGGCATCAAGGGACAAGGCAGCATAAAATAGATCTGAGGAGATGTCTTTGCTGACTTCTGTGGTGCTGTCACCATGGGGTTCTCTCATGTTGCTTTGTGTGAATTTAGTCATGTTTAAACAATGACTTTATAATGTTAGAAGTGTTTTATTATCTTAATAAGATCTCTATTATGTCATAAGTTAAATTTAAACTGTATTGGCAAAAAAAAGGCTATTTAAAGGATACTTAGATTTTCATCTTTGGCAGCCAAAATCTTCATCAGCTTCAGGTGAAACCATTTTTCCTTGATCTCTAATCTGCTTCATTCTTAGCAACAGCTATGGCAGGTCACAGTGCCTAATTGTGTTGCACTGATAGTGTGTCTGTCTCTGATTGTTTTGGACTGAGCTTCTAGGGTGTCAACAGCTAGTATTTGTCACGTCTCTCTTCCAAATAGTGCCCTCTAAGGTTTTGTTCTGTGTTTGACTTTAAGGCAATTTAGGAAAAATTCTTCCATGTTAGATGAGGGTATAGAAGTCGCTTGTACTTCATTGGTAACACCTGGAGAACCCTTCACCCCTTATTGTCTTGACCTCTGCTCTATTTTAGTGTAAAATACAGTCTCTGTAAGACATACATTATATGTGATTATATAGAAGTATATGTATATTGCTAAATGTCTCTGTCTTGAATCTGTCTTTCCCAAATATTTTATTATAATAATGAGCCAGTACTACAAGTGACAGACATTTGCAGTGATTCTAGAGGGGAAAAATGTTTAGCAGCATAAAGAAAGACTTGGAAAAATAAAATAGGAATATGAATGCAGCTCAAGGTGTGTTGTTTTGTAAAGTACAGTTATACAGTGTGAATTTTCCATTTAGCATTCTCCTATATTTCTACAATTAATTTTCTCCATAACAATTACATGGGCTTTTTTCACTCGCAGTATTAATAGGAGCCAGTCTTTCAGAACAGTTATTTTAATCAAATTTTGTTCCAAATTTAACAACTGTAAGGTAATTGTATTAGCTGATTTTTTAGGAGGGAATAAAATTCTGAACCGCCATTTCTTCTGTAGGTAACTGACATTCTCTTGCTCTCCACCCGTAGGAACTTCCAGCCCCTTTGCTTGATGATAACTACAGAAATGAACCAGGAGAAGAAACAACAGCTGTTAAGTCTGAAGATTTTCAAGATTCTATGAAAATAGCCTGGCGCTACCAAAATTTACCAAAAATGGAGGTAGTAAAGTGTTTCATATTTTTTTCCTTCTTGCAGTCAAAATTTATTTGCAGAGCAAATGATTTCAGTAGAATCTAGACAACAGAACTGCTAATGGACAGTGTTACAGGATTGCCTGCTGAGGTTAGAGTTTCATACACTGCTGTATTTTTTATTATGAGAGATACAGAGAGAAGAGGAATTTGACAGTTTGAAGGAACAATAAAACTTTATACAGACAAAAATAATTTAAAAGTAAAAAAAAATAGCGTTCCATGGGATTTTTCAACTAGTGTTGTTAAACTGAGACAGGTTTTTATGAAAGATTGAATAATTCGGTCCCTTAGAAACTTTGCCCAAATTTAGTTGTACACAAATTACTTAAGTAGGTTTAATCAACAGTACGTATTGGATCACTGTAGTGAAAGTGCTGCGTGGAAGCAAGCTATTGACCTGCTTATCCATGTGCATAATAACTAAAGTAAGCACTTGAGATTATATCAGCTTCACTGTCATTAGAAACTAATCACTGTGCGGGGAGAATGTAAGAAACAAGCCCAGTGGTCAGTCTTTCAGGGTTTACAGTTGTTAGTGTTTCATGAATTATGTATCTCCCATTGCTGGTGACTTATTTATTCTAGTGGCACAATCAACTTTTAATAAAATTACAGCATTTTTTGTTATCCAGAACAAAACCAAAATTGATTTGTCTGTGCATTTTAGCCTACATTTATAAAGTCTGGTTTACATGTAGTCATAACTGCCTGGTAAGTTGAGTTGTATTCTTAAAAAACATAATTGGAATGTGACAAAATGATCTTACAAGGCTTGGCATGTTTGGTTTTCTGTGAAATTGCACAGACGTGGCTATATAGTTGTGTCAGAAAAGACTTATATATGGTGACATGCCAAATCAAACAGCCTCCAGGCTAATCATATAATCTCATCAATTTTATTATTGTGGAGCTTGCTGTGCCACTCTGAACCATCCCCAAAATAATTTGTCTGTTTTAAAACCTAGCAGAATTCCTTGTACATTGATAAGGCACCTTTTGTATGTTGCTAACAAATAGTGTTCTGATATTCTAACAAAATAGGAAAACATATAAATAATCCAGTTTGATGTGCATTCATCTTCATAGAAGTAATCACTTTTTCCACTAATATACTATTTCTCTTCAATATATAATACATGTGTTTGTCCTCAATTGTTTAAATTTGATTACACAAGATAGAACAAAATCTTTTTGACAAAAGTCAGTCCTTTGTGGGGTGTTTCCCTTGTTATCAGTGTTGCTTTCTGAGCTGAATGCTGATCATTCTCAATATTTGAGGTCAAGTATTTCAATGTGTATGTTAAATTTATTTTTAAAATTAAAACTTGCAAATAGAAGTCTAATTCTTAAGCTATCTATACCTAAAATTCCTCAGGGTATTCTAATTAGTGAAAAATAGTTTTTATAATTGAAATTCTATATTTTTTCAATACTTTATAATACAGTTTTCAGAACATTTTGTTGTGCTAAATTAATTTGTTTGGAGAATATACTCCATGGAGGAAAATTCTGATGTTGCCTTGCAGCACCCTCAATGTTTAATGCATATAGTCCTATCGTTTAATCAACAAGTTTGGTTGTGATTTATTCTTTATATTTTCATTTGGCAGAGAAAATAACGTTGAATAAAATTTCAAGGCACAGTTACCAAACTAATTGAACTAATAAACCAGTATATTTTCAAAAACTACTGTTAAATAGTGTGAAAAAAGAGAAAAATATTGTAACTTGTAACTATTGTAGCTTGTAACTAGAACACTAAATGTGTTAGCAGAAAACTTTTCTATCCAGTATCTGGCTTTACATGAAGTAAGAATGCTGAGTAAAAGCTTTCTTGGTGTGTGGTTTTTTTTATACCTAATTTAGTAAGAAGTAATAAAAGAGGTTTCATTAATAGTTCAGATATTGCCTTCCCATTTATTAGACATACAGACAAGGTTAGTAACTCATGTTCATTCTTATGGGCGTTATTTACGTTAGTACTTTTTGTAACTATCACAGCTTCTGTAGGTATTGCATGTACCTTGTACATGAGAAAAAGAATGAAGAATTACAGGAAATCTGTCAGAATAACTGTGTTGTACTTGATGTGCCTTTGCCAGTTTATTACTTTCATCTGTATCAGATGTTAATTTAAACTTTGGAGTCTACAGATAGCCTGATTTGCTATGTAAGACAGTGTGGTTTTTCTTTTTTCCTTTTTTTTTTTTTTTTAATGAACTGCTTGTGTTCTTGGGGCAATATATAAACTGTCACAGCATGAAATCAATTTTCTGCCTTGATTCATCCTAAATCTGAGATTTCTAGCACATTAGTATTGCAATTAGAAACATTAACAGCAGACGGTAGCATAAAAGCACGCTCTGCTCACTGACAATTTAGTGCATTTCTCCTTGTGCAAAATAGGAATCTAGGGAAGAACAGGCTTGAGCCTCCAATCCACTAATAAATGTATCAGATCAAACTCAAGAGGAATGGAAAGTCTCTGCTTCACACTCTCCATGGTCATTCTGCTAAGGCAGATTATTCATGCTTACTTGATTCAGGTAAGCTTTTTGCAAGCTTCCCTGCTAAGCCTGGGAATGCAGTACATTGAGGCCTATTCATGGGCTTCTGACATAGACCAAGCTTTTATTGCATGGTGTTTTATTATAGCCAAATCCCAGTCTCCACCCAGTTTGTAGGCACTGTGCTTATTCTTTTGAGTCAAGAGAGGTTATCACCTACCTTAATCCATGCAGCAGGGTGGATTAAGGACACCAATGTGCCTCAGGATTCTCAAAGAGGATCCTGGAAACTTCTTGTTTCTTCTTTTTTGCTGTCTTTACTAAACTCTATTGGGCCTCAGTAAGGATTTGCATCTGAAATGGGCAACCTGGAGCTTTTCTCAATGAAGACATCAGATCAAAGTTCAGTTAGTCAAGGCCTTTCTAAAACATTAAGGGGGCTTGGAAGTACACAATAAAAAGATGAGCTCTGGCAGAGATTGCAGTAAAAACATTCTGATCTGTAATCCGGATAAAGAATAGATTATAGGCCAAAGAACAGCCCCTGTTTAAATTGCTTTCAGAATCCTCATTTTAAACAAAGTTACATTTTGCATTAAAATATCTATATTTTGATTGATTGGTTTGGTTTGTTGGACTTCCTTCTTTAAAGATCAGATGCTGATAAATAAATTGGTACACTGATTTAGAGAATGTGTTTTCCTATCTTTTTTTGAGTAAAACTGATCTGCCTCATATGATTAGGTATACTTGAGCAACTTTGTGGGTGTTTTTAATTAAAATCTAATTATTTGTTTTAATAAAAAGTTTGGGTTTAGTTTGGTTATTCTATTGGTTTTGTAGGAAATATTGTATTACTGTAACTATTTCTATTCTCTGTGCTGAAAATGAAAGAATATCAGAATATTTACACTAAATCAAATTATTCTAATTAATCTTAACAGTTTGTTGGGTTTTGTTTTGTAAGTATGAAATAAAATTGCGGAAATACATAGCATGATTTATTTCAGGAAGCTAACTATAAATATATGGCCATTTCTGGCATATCTGTATTCTTTCTTTTTACAGTACTTATTTTATTAACAGGACCAAGGTTTATGAAAACCACAAGCTTTCTGTAATAATTGGAGTTGGAACAACCTGTGGCTTAACACAAAAAATTATTGGGGTCCCATTATTGTAGTAATTAAGCTTATCTGTTGTCATTCTTGTATATAGCAAGAATAGCAGATGATGAAGTTGGAGCTGAAGTGGTTCTGAAGAATATTCATTGCAAACCTATACAACCTTGCTCAACTTTCAGATAGCAGATAACATAGATATTTTGGCCTGCCTAAAAGAGAAATCTTTTTATAGTATGTTCTAAGTTATTACAGAACCTACTGAGAAACTTTTTTAATTATTGGGGGTACTTCTGCTCACTAGCATTTCATTTTACCTACCAAGCCAAACTTCTCTTAATAATGATCTTTCAAAGGCATTTTATTTTGCTGAGTGACTGTTTTTTCAACATCTCTCTTACTTTCAGATGCTACCTTTTCTGTATCACCTGTTCTTTTTCTGGAGATATTTTAATACTTTAACATTGTGAGGTGGCTCTTGGCTCTGGTGGGGGATTCAGTTTAGGAGTACATCTTGAAGTTGGGAGATTGAAATTATTTTCAGATGTTTTTGCATGTTCCTGCTTTGTACAATTCACAATTCAGATCCTGTCCAGGCTTAGGGTAGGTGTCCTCACAATAGACTAATAGATGCTCTTTCATTTGACCTGCAAAGCTGCTGTTAAAAGTCTAGGATCCAGCACCTTTCTTGGTCCAGACAACTCACCAGTTGGAACTACTGTGTATTTGATTGATAATTGTATAACTAAACTTGTTTGGTTATTCTAAAGGACCTGCCTTTTTCCTCAATGGTTAGAAAAGTTGATGAGGGATAATCAGGAGCATGGTAGTGGTTGTGTCATAACCTAAAGATAAATGTTAATATTGCTCTGGTAATCTCTTACTCCTTTACAGTGTGTACATTAAAAATACAATATAGCAGTTGACATTTGTGCTAAGTGCTTTTCTTTCCTGGAATAAACTTTCTTGCCTCTGAGGTTTACTCTGCTTGACTGTTGTTTCCAGGACAGTTTTTTTGTTGTTGTTGGTTTGTTTTTTTTGTTTGATTTTTTTTTAATGGGAAGAGCAGAAAAGCTGAAGAAAATTGATTTCTCCATGAAGAGCAAAAACTGTTCAGTTCCTGTAGCAGACAGCTACTACATACTTGAATGCTGCATATTACAGCAGTCAAAAT